ACAAGAACATCACAGAGGCGAGTTTTCCCAAAGGACATCCTGGACTGTCCAGGTTACAGTAATCACCAAATCCCAGAGTTGGAAGGGGCCTTGGAAGACATCTATCCTGTCTCCAAACCCCTGGCCAGATCAGGAATTCTGGTCTCAAGAAAAGTGGGCATCCAGTCTCTATTGAAAGACCTCTAGTAACCTGCAGTAGGCGATCGTCCAAAGCAGGCCTATTCCAATTTGGGATAGCCTCTAATTAAGTAATTTTTCCTTACACTAAGCCTAAATCTGCCTCCGAAACTGCCCTCCCACCTGCCCCTGTTGCTCCTAGTTCTGGCTTCTGGGTGAAGGCTAATCTTTCTCTGTCTCCCTCCCTCCCTCCTCTCTGTCTCTGTGTCTCTCTGTCTCTGTCTCTCTCCTCTCCTCTCCTCTTCTTTTCTTTTCTCTTTTTTCTTCTCTTCTTTCTCTTTTTTCTCTTATCTTTCTCTTCTCTCTCTTTTCTCTCTTCTTCTTCTTCTTTTCTCTCTCTCTCTGTCTCTCGGTCTCTCTCTCTCTCTCTCTCTCTCTCTCTCTCTCTCTTCACACACACACACACACACACACACACACACACACACACACTCTTCAAATACTTGACCATTGGTTTCATGTTTCCCTTTAATTTTCTTTTTTTTTTTTTCCCCAGGCTAAACATCCCCAGTTTATTCAATGATCCTGGAATGACATGACATCTAGCCCTCCCCACTCCCACCATCTCAGATGGTCTAGTTTTTCAACGGCTTTCCTCAATTTGGGGACCTCAGGTTGGAGAGATGGGAGAGAGGTCCCCTAGAATTCTGAATAGGGATAGCGACCCTTTCAAAACTTCATGGAGTAACAAAGTGTCAGAGATGGCAGGGACCTTAGAGAAGGCCACCTGTCCCTTATTTTATTAATGAGGAAGCTGTGAGGCAGCTAGATGGCAGAATGGATAGAGGACTAGACTTGGAGTCAAGAAGACCTAGGTTCAGAGCTGGACTCAGTCATTAAAGATTTATTGAACACCTACTATGTGCCAGGCATTGTGCTAAGCTCTGGGGATACAAAAAGAGGAAAAAGACAGTTCCTCCCCTCAAGGAGCTCACAATCTTATTGTGAAGCTCCACTTCATAACTGGTTGTCACTTAACCTCTCAGACTCAGTTTCCTCATTTGTAAAATAAGAGAGTTGGACTCTTTGGCCTCCACTATCCCTTTCAGCCATAGAACTATGATCTAGTGAGTGTCTCTATAGCCCAATAAGATAAAAGCTACTTGCCCATTGTCTTGCATCAAGCTAGCAGTCAATATGAGAACTCAGGCTTTTGGACTGCCAGGACTCTTCCCCCAGAAGCCAGCATGCTCATGCCCCATGCAGCCCCACCTCTACTTAGACACCCATCCCCCACCTCCAGGCACTGATCTCTGCCAGCTGGGCAACTTGGCAAGTCTTTGAGTACTATATTCCTGCCGATACAGTAACAATGAAAACGGGCATTCGCTCCAGAACCTTAGTTTTCCAATGTTGTTGTTATTGTTCCGTTGTGTCTGACTCTTCATGGCCCCGTTTGGGGTTTTCTTGGCAGAGATACTGAAGTGCCTTTTCATTTCCTTCTCCAGCTCATTTTACAAATGAGGAAGTGGAGGCAAACAGGGTTAAGTGACTTGCCCAAGGTCACACAACTAGTAAGTGCCTTGAGATTGGATTTGAACTCAGGTCTTCCTGATTCTAGGCCCTACACTCTATCCACAACACCACAGAGCTGCCCCAACTCCCTCAGTCTTCTAATATCTTAAACAGGTAGGGGCAGGAGAACCCTAGCTCTGGAGTGCTCAGAAGGAGGGTTCTTTCAGGAGAGTCAGGGAGGAGCAGAGCCTAGGCAAAAAGGACAGAGGAGCCCCCACCACTGATGCTAGGCAGGAAGATTTAGAATGACTCCCTTTTGGCCCCCAGAGCTGTCCCTTGGAGATCCCAGAGGCTGGAGGGATCATATTTGAAGCCCAACGCTCTTCAGGTGATGGGAAGCCAGGGATATGCCCTATGGACCACATGAGATGCTGGCGGAAGCTGCCTGGAGAGTGTGCTACAGATCATCAGTGCATTGGGATGATGAAATGCTGTTTTATTAGTTGCCAGTTCAGATGCCTGCATCCTGGAGAAGGTAGGATTCCTCCTCCCTGTACAAGGCCCAGACTAAGACCACGTTGGTAAAGAGCTTCCGAATGCTAGCTATTATTATCATTGTTAGAGTCTCATCTTCCTCTACCCTTTCTCTTTTCCCACCTTTGAGTCTACCTCTTTCTTAACCAAATCTTGGACTTTTCTTCCTCCCTCTTTCCCGGGGTTGGGTAAGAATGTCAGGGGCTTGTTCAGGGGTGGGGGGAAGCTTAGCCCCATGCCAAGTTATGGCTTAAAAACCCCTGGTAATACCAAATGGGGCTCTGAGGGCACTCTAATGTGGGGTCCTGAAAAGCAAAGATGAATAAAGGCCCGAAGTCTTTCGAGGAGATGACATCCAGCTGGTGGAGAGAAGCGAGTACATCTTCTCTGGAGAGGCTTCTGGAGCTTAATTGCACTTAACCTAATGAGGCTGAGGGCTCTGGATGAAACTAGGAGGTCAGGGAGAAGTTGATAGAACAGGTTGGTAGGAAAGTTGGGACATTGGGAGAGATATATGGGTGGAAGGAGGACATTATGAAGGGAGAGGGAGGGGAAAGGGGGTGACTGGGAGAGTTCAAAAATTTAGGAGCTGTGAGTCTATGGGAAGAAGACTTGATTTAGGGGATCAGAGAAGGGGTGAAGGTCCGGTTCGGACAGTGTGAGTGAGCAAGCGAAAGCCTGATCTGAGAGACTGGATGAAGGGTGGGGCCTCAGATTTCAGAAAGGGGTAGGAGAAGGAAAGAGCCTAGTGGGCTGGGGTGGGGACATTAGAGGGAGTACCTGGACTTGAACATGGGCAGTTTTCAGAAGCACATCCCTACACTTAGAATCCCATTTGCCTTTGTCTCATTCAGTCCAACTGACCAGACTCAGTCTCTGTGATGAGTTACCCCCGATAAGGTACTGCAAACTGAATTGTTATGAAGACAAAGACTGCCATAATCAGAAGAGATGTTGTAATTCCTACTGTGGTGACATCTGCTTCTTGCCTCAGGAACCCCAGACCACTGTTGGCCCATGAGTACTTACTTGTCTTCATCTGTCTTTGCAGCCCCAGCACTTAGCCCAGTGCCTGGTACATAGTAGGCACTTAATAAATGCTTATTGATTGACTGATGACTGCTCTAGTTTTTATTTTCTGCTGATTGGGGGGATCCGGATAGTGTGAAAACAGAACAAAGGGCCTGGGTCATAGGCTGGCTCCAAATATACCCCCACACCAGTCTGGACACCTATGCTTCTTTCACTCCTTTTGTATGTGGGTTGGACTATTTGGCCCCTTCCATTCCTCAAATTCTTTGATTCTGTGACTTAGGTGTTACATCTTCCATTTGCTGCTCTCAATAGCTTGATTCACTCTTGTCCTTTCCACCATCCCCACTCCCATTTTCTAAGTCCTTCAAGTCACAGGCATTGTTCCCTTCTCCCTACCCAAATATCATTCCTGCATTCAACCAAAGTTATAGGAAATAGCTACTGGCCTAGCTCCCTAGCCACTAGGGGCAAAGGTAGAGTGCCCAGGCCTCATCCCCACCTCCCAGGCTCCATCTTATTCCCCTGATCTTCTCATCTTTCTTCTCCTCCTAAGCTCAAAGGATTGAAAGTTGGAAAGAACCTTAGTGATCACCTCACTCCCTCATCTTTTTTTTTTTTTTTTGGTGAGGCAATTGGAGTTAAGTGACTTGCACAGGGTCACACAGCTAGGAAGTGTCAAGTGTCTGACACTGGATTTGAACTCAGGTCCTCCTGACTCTAGGGCCAGTGCTCTATCCACTGTGCCACCTAGCTGCCTTCTAACTCCCTCATCTTACAGATACATAATGTGAGGCCCCTAGAGATGAAGTGGCTTAGAATAAAGGGATCATGGATTATGGAACTAGAAAAAAACATAGATATTACCTGAGGGAGGAGGCATGTGCCAAGTTACTCAAACCACCATCGCCTTACTCACCAGCCCAGGGCCCACACCCATCATTGAGAGGAGCAATCACTGAAGAGAGGAGCCCACCTTCTTGTCATCACCAATACCAACTGCTGACCTAGTGCCATGAACAAGCAGACAAGCCCAAGAACTCTGGGAGCGGGGGCTTCCCTGCTTTCATCTTTGCCCTCATTCTAGGCAGTAATCCTCATGGGGATGTGGGCTGGCCACTGTTTCTGAGGTTACCATAACAATTCCTGAAGATGAGAAAAGAAAACTCTTGCCACGGAAGTCTTTGGTACTACAGAGTGGTTGGGCATCAGAAGCTGATCTCCTATTACCATGGAAATGACATTAGAAAATAAGCCTATCAGCTTCTCTGCTGTGCCCTAAGGACCATGGGACCTTTCCATCTGACTTGGAGCTGAAGCCTTCCGTATGTGTTAGACTGGGTGCTCCTGGCTCATTTTTCTAGAGGTTAGCACAATGCTCGGCACATAATACACTTAGTCAGTGCTTTTTCACTCATTCATTACAGATGACAAAACTGAGGCCCAAGGATGTCCAGTGATTTAGGCTCAGAAGATCATTGATTTAGAGCTGGAAGTGGTATTAAAAGCCATCTAGTCTAACCCTCTGATATTACAGATGAGTCCCAGGTAAGTGAAGTCATTGAGAATCATAATGTAGTATCTCCTCCATTCTCACTCTTTCTAGCAGGTTACATTCTCAGAGGGGAGAATAATACTTCCCTTAAGGTTCTAGAGATAACTGTGAGGGTTGTGGCTTCTAATACTCTTCATGAGCCCTCATCTTGTGTACCTCGAATGGGGAGCACACTTTTGTCCCGCTGTGGGCAGAAGGTACAAATTATAACACGAAGGTTGTCAGGTATATGAACAGAAGAAGGTACCTCCGTACTCCTGGCCCCAAAGTTCTTTCCTCTTTTCATGGAGTCCTGATGAAGTTCCTCTTGGGTGTAGCTCTCTGGGGGGCTGGGTTGATGGGTCCTTTATTAGCCAACATAGCCAACATTTCTTTCTGTCATGAGGAGTCACAATCTTTGAATCTGACACACTGTCCTTGGGGAACTATCTCTCCATCTCCAACTGCAGAGTTAATGATTCTTTAACTCCAAACTGAGAACTCTCAGCCTCCTTTCCCAACCCTACCTCCTTTTATATCCTGTCACTAAGCCCATGACCTAAGCACCCAGCATTTCTTGTGTAATTTACCCAAGGTCACTCAGTGGACAGAGCAAGAACTAACAGTAGGCTCTCCTGCTTCCCAGCCCAGGTCTCTTGTCACCATGCCATGTCCCAGGGGTGGTGGCTGGGAGAGAGGATGAGGTGGACGGCCCTTAAGTCCATCCTTCAAAGCCTTTCATGAAACTCAGAGGCTATAGGATGGGATCAGAGAGGAGCTTTAAGGAATCCCTTAGGGGATTAAATGCCCATCGAAGGGTTTCTGGACTGGCAGGGGGCACAACTGGGAACCATCCTTGACTAAGGCAAAGCTCACCAAGCTGCAGTTTCTGGCTTCTAGGGAAATGGGCAATAGGGACATCAGAGAGGAAAACTGCAGGCATTTTGAGAATAGTCAATACTTGCCCCTGGGCCACAACAAGCCTCAGTGACCTGGGAACCCTCCTTCTCCTCTGCCTTTCTTCCTTTTCAACTGATGGTAGTAACCAGGGCAAGTAGGAGGCAGAGGAACATTCACAGGTCATCTATTCCAACCCAGGCTTGAACAGGAATATGCTTCATGACAACCTGGGTGGGTGGTCATTTGACATTTGCCGGAATGCTTCCAGGGACACGGAATTTACTTTCTCTGGAGGCAGTCCATTCTCCTTTTACTTAGCTTGAAATATTAGGAAGCTTTCCTTTACATGCAGCTGAAACCTGCCTCTTGGAAACTTTCATCCACAGCTTTTAGTTTTGTTCTCTTGTACCAAGAACAGAGTGAATCCCTCTTCCACAAAGCAGTCCATCAGTGACTGAAGATAGCAATTATGCCCCCACAACCACCCTGAAATCTCTTCCCCAGGCCCAGTATCCCCAGTTTCTTTAACCAGTACATGGTTTCAAGTCCCCTCGCCATTCTGGTAGCCTTCTGGACACATTCCAGTTGGTTAATGTCTTTCCTAAAATGGGTTCCCAGAACTATGTGTGTAGTTCCCAGAGTATGTATGCAGTTAATTTTTCTTTGAACTCATATTGGATTTTATATTTACCTCTATTTGATTTTCTTCTAGATTCAGTTTTATAATATTTCTCAGTTTTAAACTCAATCCCGTCAACCTTTTGATCACTGCAATCTCCATATCTAAGAGTATGGAAACCCCCCAAACACTTCAAGCCTGTTTCTCTTCTCTTTTCCTCCTCTATCTTCTCCTCTCCTCTCTTGTCCTACTCTCTCCTCCCCTATCCTCTCTTTACTCAACATTTTAAGAAGAATGTTAATAAGTTGGAGGGCAAGAAGTGTGAGTAGGATGGTAAAAAGCAAATTGAAGCCTGGTGTAAGGATCTGCTTCCTAGCAAAGAGCTGTCCCAAAATGAAACAAGTTCCCCTAGGAAATCCCCTAGTAGATTTCCTTTCACTGGGGGGTATCTTTAAGGGCCTTATGTGCCTTTTCCAGCTCTGACCTCCTATGAGTCCATGAGCCTCTGAATCTGAAACTATCAGCAGAGCCCTGGTCCAGGGGCCATTATTTAGTCTGACTTAATTCAATAAACATCCATTAAATATTCACTATGTGCTTAGCATTTATGTGTTGGGGGGTGGGCATTCTGTAACACAAAGGTGAAAATACTAGTAGCGGGATGCAGATACTCAAAGCCGTGTCTGAAGTGGCTCCCAGCACACACCTTGGAGCTCCCTTGTACCCTCAAAGCTCTCATTTGGAGAATATTCCCCTGCGGCTGTCACCCTCCACAACTGCTTCATTGTAAATCATAAAGCCCCATTCAGGTACAAAGAATAGTCAGGCTAATGATTTCAGGAACCTTTGTCATTGGGGATGCCCTGTCATTTTATAGTAGTTAGTTGTTCCATGAGATGCTGTGACCAACAGAATAAAAATAGAATGCTCTAGTTGCTGAAGTCATGGTGATGAGCCTCTCAGAGCTTATTCCCAATGCTTAGTGCAGTTCTGGTATGTAGTGAGTGACTAACAAATGCTTGTTCACTGACAGACTAATTTTGCTAGGAAGGCCTACTGATAATGGCAGGAAAGCAACTTGTCATTGGTAGAATCCACCAGGGCTTGTCCTCCATGGGCATAGACATCCCCTCTTCCATCATGCCTAATTTTTACCTGTTTTCAAAGTGCAACTCCAATAGCCCCTCCTATTGGAACCCACCAGTGATGTTTCCCCACTTAAGATTTCACTTGGTTTTGCACTCACGCTTGTTTTGCTCCTCCTCTAACAGACTTACTTATCATGCAAGCCGAGCCCCAATGGCCAGAGGTATGGCACTCTCTCCTTGTTGGTGGAGATCCATGCCTCATATCTGTGTGAGGGGCAGGGCAGAGTTGATGAAGAATGAAAGAAGAGAGATTCAGTCCCTTCAGACTTTTCTTTGAGCTCTTCTGGATTCTAACTTCAAGAGAGAAAATGAATGGTATCAGTCCCCCTTCAGGTTTCTGAAGGAAGAAAAAGACACTGGCAAGTAGGAGACATGACAACAGTCTCCATCACGTCCCTGTCCCTACACTTACAGACATCAGGGAATTTCCTCTTTGAGTGAGACCAGGGACTTTCTCTCTTGTTTGAGCTAAGTTAACTCACTCCCAATGGCAAAACTCTTTTATTTTGTATTGTCTGGTAAACCTTCTCATATATATACTTTCTCTGATTTCTGTTTTGCTCTCACCTTTGCTAAATGGATTTCTTTGCTATTTCCGATGTGTGTTCTGAAGACCCAGAACTCACAGCTTGGCACATAGTAGACACTTAAGAAATAGTAGTTGAACTGAATTAAGAATACAGGGTATTCTCTAGGTCTCCATGAAGCATCTCATATGGGCTAGAATTATAACTAGGATTGAATTATAATTATTATCTCACTAACATTTCCCCTAAGAACCTACCCTGGAATTGAAACTGCCACCACTGAGGTGGTAAGGCTGCTCCTAGAAGGTTACTTTATCAGGTTAACAAATCACCAGTAGAGTATGATAACCTGACACAGAATAAATGCTTAATAAATGCTCATTTATTAATTGGGAAGAGAAGGCAAATATAGGCAAATGGCAACAAAGAATGGAGCTTAATCCTCACAGAGAAAGAATTGGCTACTCCTTAAGGGATAGACCAAGTTAGATTAAGATTAAGTTTTCCAGCCTAGATGCCCTCAAGTGCTCAAAATGTAAAATTTACACAGGAAGATTTCTGGGCAGGAAAAATCAACCAGTAAAATTGTTGCCCTATCTAGAAAATTGTAGAGATAGGTTAATGTTCTATGGTGGCACAGTAGATAGAGTACAAGCCTGGAATCAGGAAGATTCATTTTCCAGAGTTTAAATCTGGCCTCTGACACTTACTAGCTGTGTGACCCTCAACAAATCACTTAACCTTGTTTGTTTCAGTTTTTTTCATTTGTAGAATGAGCTGGAGAAGGAAATGGCAAACCACTCCAGTATCTTTGGCAAGAAAACCCAAATGAGGTCACAAAGAGTTGGACATGACTGAAAAATGACTGAATATTCTTGGTCAAATACACTCTCAACATGGGATCTAGTCAGTCTACCTCTCCAAGAGATTTTGCTTTGGGTTGTCTTCTTGCCAATTGGAAGAAAATTCCTTTTAAAAAACTGTTTAAGACTTCCACTTCTGGGAGCCAAGATGGTGGAGTAAGAAGTCGCTCTCACTCTCCCTTATTGACCTTTGAAAACCCAGAAAATATCGCCCCAGGAAAAACCCTGGAACAGCTGAGCCAGCAGAAAAACAGAGTGCAGCAGTCTTGTAACCAAGGAAGCTTGGGGGATTAACAGGAAAGGACCTTCTTGCTTTGTGGGAGCGGGGAGCAGTATAGGATGGGAGGCATTTCAGCAAGCTAGGGGCAAGCTCCATCTCAGCATACCAAGGGGAGATCCTGAGCCACAGGGTAGTAAAGCAGGCAAGTACCAACATCAGGACCTCCTGAATACATCAGTACAGGCAGGGGAACCAGTAGACACCAGCTTGGAAAATGACCAAGTGCAATGGCCTTCTCCACTAGCCAAATCTCCTGGTGCCTAAGCACAATTCCAGGAAACACATTTCTAGGAGACAAAGCTCCAGGCTGACAGACATCCTCCAGCAGAAAAACATTCCTGTGCAAGGCCTGGCTGAGCAGGCATCCCCCAGGGTCCAGACTTCTCACCCCCACCCCAAGAGCTCCAGTGTTGTTGACCCCAGCCCAGCACTAGGTAAACTGCCAGAACCCTATAGCCTCCAACCACCAGAATCTGAGGCCCCAGAACACAAAGCCAATGACTAGGTCTGGGGCTCCCAGCACAAGAAGCTTGGGTCTGTGCCCCTTGCCCTCCAGCAGGAGAGCTCGACTTTTTTTTTTTTAAAGTCAGGAAATAGGCAAACACCATTAGCAAAAAGCAGAAACAGACAATGATCACAGACTCTTATTATGGGGACAGGGAATATCAGGGCACAAATTCAGAAGAGGACAACATTGTCAATATAACCCACATCTGAAACCTCCAAAGGGAATGTGAACTGGTCTCCAGCCCAAAAGCCTTCTTGGAAGAGCTCAAGTAGGATATTAAAAAGGGGGCAGCTAGGTGGCACAGCGGATAGAGCACCAGCCCTGGATTCAGGATGACCTGAGTTCAAATCTGGCTTCAGACATAGCACTTACTAGCTCTGTGACCCTGGGCAAGTCACTTAACCCCATTGCCTAGACAAAAAAAAAAAGGATATTAAAAGTCAAGTAAGAGAGGTAGAAGAAAAATTGGGAAAAGAAATGAGATGTATGCAAGAGAGAAT